AAAAAAAAAAAAAAAAAAAAAACAACAAACCAGATAGGGAAAAGTCCAAACATTAACTAATGGTTTTGCAACACATGTGGCAAAGTGCCAGGGATTCACAGCACATGAGTAAGATTATATGGGCTAGGAAGCAGATAATGTTAACAGCTCTCCTGGATCAGAGCAGAGAGCCATCCAGCTTGTTATCTCCTGAAGAAAGCAGAAGTTTAGAGAAAGCATGTACAAAATGGGCCATGGCTCTATAATTTATGCCGACAAATTAACAGTTTGCTAGTTGTGATTACCTTATTTACCAGTAACTGATTGTCCTAAGCTTCAGAAAAGTATTCAAGTGATTTCTGATCCCATTTACACTTCTATTTTCTATGATTTCACATGACAAGATTTACAACTTAAACATGCACAATATCAGYAAAAGAAAGTTTCCTATTTCTTCATTTTGGTAGCCTTTCCAAAAAGTCTTATTCTTTTCACTTCTTTTCATAACAGGTGAAGATTTCATTATTAGATCATGACAGATCAACCTCTRCCAAGTTATTTTTTATATTTAAAGTCTTAACCTTTCTTCCCACTTTTCACAGAGGCTGTTACATCAACTTCAGTGGTTCTTATAGTTTTCTCTCCCTTTCCCACWTCAGGTGTTCCCAAAAACAAACCTGCAGGCAGGTTCCCCGTTCCCATCCTGCTGTTCCAGAAACCAAATACTGCACGACCYATCTCAGAAGGCTGTTCACAGCCACCTGCTGTCCCCAAGCAGCAGCCTTAAGTCAGAGCCGGTTTATGCCTATTTAGGTGGTGCTCTTCCCAACACACACAACCTTCACATTTGTCAACACTGGATTTCACTTCCTTCACTATTTCCTAGTGATTTCACAGAAACACAGAATTATTAGGGTTGGAAGGGACCTCAGAAGATTATCTAATCATATCCCCCTGTCAAGGGAGGGTCACCTAGAGCGGTTACACAGGAACGCCTCCAGGAGGGTTTGGAATGTCTCTAGAGAGGGACACTCCACGACCTCCCTGGGCAGCCTGCTCAGCGCCATGCCTCAACGCCAAGCTCTTCCCCRTTATTCCTATCACAAAAAGGGCGCAAGTGGATTCCGCTTTCTGCCTCCCTTCCTGGCTACTGCTCCGGCACTCCCCGATAAGGGAAACCCGCGGAACGGCCCGAGGTCGGGACGCCCGAGGCACCGCAGCGGGCCTGCCGCACCTCCCCCGSTCCCAGCCCTCATTTCACCGCGCTCCCACCCCATGCCGCCGGTCCCTGGGCACGCTCAGAGCGGGAGCAGCTGCGGGCAGAGCAGCCCCGGCCGTCCCTTGCCCCGCTTACCCAAGCACACGAACAGCACCGACTTCCCTTCCCCCGCCGCCATCTTCGCCGGTGAGGACCTCGCAGCTGTCGCGCCGCGCGCGCCTCGCTTTACGGCACCGGCTGCTATAGGCGTCCGCGCGATTTGCCTGTTTCGAGGTTCCAAAGGAGTGAGGTGCGGAACGTGCCCGGGACAGCGGGAAGGGAGAGACGGCACCGGACAGTGCCAGTGCCAGTGCCAGTGCCAGTGCCAGTGCCAGTGCCAGTGCCAGTGCCAGTGCTAGTGCCATTGCCAGTGCCAGTGTGGCCGTGGAGCCGCTGGACGGAAGGGGAGCGGGGGCTTCGCAGCCGCCCCGGCCCCGCCCGCCTCACCTGCGGCAGGTGCGCGGCTCTGCGGGGCCGCCCCGGCGCCGCCCAGTGAGGCTGAGGCGGCCGCGGCGGCAGGAGGAGAGGA